GTCTACTCACCTCTACAGTGTGAGCGTTTGTGGTAGTTCATTATTGTCAGTTAATCCTTAATGATGATTACATTATTGAAAGTGATGTCAACATCTGATTTCTCTTTCTTTGAGTGCGATTTCACAAGTAGATAAAGGACCCCCCAAACCTTAGAGATACTATTCTTTTTATCTTTAATGAAAATATGAATATTACTATCAGTACGTTTCTGCATACTTTCTCACAGCACAGTAACACATACTGTATACAGGCGATACATTCATTAGGAGGAAAAAAACTGAATTATGCAAGTCTATAATCACTCCAACACAATCGAAAACACAGCATTGAAACACTGCCAAGAAGAGAGGTAAAGATTCAAAAAAGGTCAATGTGTAGGAAATCACATTCAGAAAAATACCAACAAAACTGCCAAAGCATCAGTTGTACATTCATGGATATATTAATATAATACTGTGCTGTATGTAATTATATTCATCATGACTGAGTACAAATACATATTTAATTTCATAGATTACAGATCCTATGGCACAAACACATTTTAAAGAATCTTTCTGTCTAACACAGACTTTATGTACACACACACATACACACACACACACACACACACACACACACTCACACACACTGTAGCAGGTAGAGAGAGGCAGAGAGGAAACCAAGCAGAGCAGGAGGTTTGAGAAGGAAAATACAATTTTCCCCTCAGATTGATTTATGTTTGGTTATCTTTTTAATGTCTAGCTGACAAAATAAAGATTCTGGGCATTTTTTACCACAAACACACTCTGTCCTGTGGGAGACAAAGGGACACCTGTGCATGTGACACTTTTCCCTCCACTTTGCTTTGCTGGTATGCCAGCCTGGCTCCCTATGGGCCATGGGAATGAGGCGCTTGGTCTCAAACAAATGTCACATTAACATGCCTGAAACACTGGATGGGGTTAACAGGGGAAATGATTGTCATGGCAACACAGATCTGGCATGAGCTCCTCAGCTGAAGCAAAACCAGTTTTTGTAATTTTACTTTCTTTTCTGATCATTAGACAATGTTGACTATGGTCAAAGCACATATCATACTGCCTTTACAATAAAGAAAATGTATTGTCCCGCTAACCATGACTTTGATGGAGTGAGAGTCAAGGAACTTGCTGAGTATTTACTGGTTATTTACCCTCTGGCCATCCATTCCTATCAAATAAAGATCAACATCCACCACCTTCAACTCCAGGTCCCCAAATGCATCGATCAATTTTCTGATAAGAAACTATGGAGCAATGTGCTCAGTACGTAAACACAGCACAAAAGACTCCAAGCTAATCTGTTAATACACAGGACACTTTGATATAAAGTGGCAGGGAAGAAGAATGGGTGGGAGGAGTGGTGAGTAAAGGAGGTGAGAAGTAGGTGGTAATCAGCACTCCCTCATTTTCTTTGCAATTTCTACAAAAATCAATTTGTAAGGATCAGTGAACTGAGAGTGGAGGAGCCAGTTACTCTCTGAGTTCACAGCTGAACTGAAAAAACCTAAACCTAATTCTCCAACTTTCAAGTGAGGGAGTTTGGAAGTTGGAGAGCTAGGTTTGCTCTAGTTAAAACAATCTGTGAAAGAAACTGAAAAGACTACCACATAAGGCAACAGTTAGAATGTGTGCAAAGGCTGCACATCTGTCTAATGCGGCTCCAACTGAAGGCTGGAGGAAGTTTCATATTTTTACATTAACAACCTTGGTCTAATAGTTTTAGCCTGAATTTGATACGAGTTACTCAAAAGTTGCATTGCTGGGGTCATTTGCAAAACTTTACAGACCACTGAAACACAAAAAGCCACAACTTCGCAGTCCTAAAGGGTCAAAGTGCTGTGATGGTACACATACAGTTCTGTATAAGGCACATTTTCACGTCCTATTTACTAATTACTTTTCTTCTTTATGGACTAAATGTGGCATCACTTACATGCATCAGCATCAGTATTTTCCCATCAGTGTGGGTTAGCCCTGCCAAGACTAGGCATTGGTGCTGGAGCCATGTTGAGCTGCTCCTGAGCCGCCTCGGTTGTGTTTACACTGCACCATAAAAACACATCGACACATTGACCATGCCGGGGCGGCACCAGCGACGGAGAAGCAACACATAACTCATGGTGTCCTTGTGGTGTTACTAGGCTGCGACATGGAACCCTTGGTGCCAGGCATTATTTTAACCCTTCATCAGAAAGTGAGAAACTGCTTTCAATCTTGCTGCAATGAAATAACGGCTAAAAAGAAAAAATGCTGTGTGGACGCAACATTTCAGCCAATCATGTGTCTTGATGAGCCAGCTTTGTTGAAGATGGAGCTCGGCCCCACTCGGCCCTGAGTGGAAGCAGGGCTGGCAGAGCCCAAGTCAGTTCGATTACCCCCCTGCTGCTAGGAACCCGTGCCGGCTTGGCACAATTAAAGCAGACTGACCTGTGCTGATGGAAAAACAGTTCAGGAATTTTACTGGTCTAAAACCAAATAATTATGTACTGTACTTTTGCCATGTTTATTTCCAAAATCCTTGAAAAAGCTGTTGCAAAGCAGTTATGTGACCACTTGCACAAGAATGATTTGTTTGAGGATTTTCAGTCAGGATTTAGAGTCCATCATAGTACAAAAACCGCATTGGTGAAAGTCACCAATGATCTTCTCCTAGCCTCAGACAAAGGACTTGTCTCCATACTTGTCCTCTTAGATCTCAGTGCTGCTTTTGACACCATTGATCACAGCATCTTACTGCAGAGACTTGAACATGTTATTGGGATTAAAGGAACTGCGCTAAGTTGGTTCAAATCTTATTTATCAGAAAGATTTCAATTTGTTCATGTCAATGACAAATGTTCCACACAAACTGACGTTAGTCACAGCGTTCCACAGGGCTCTGTGTTAGGTCCAATACTCTTCACTTTATACATGCTCCCTTTAGGCAATATTATCAGGAAGCACAACATAAATTTCCATTGCTATGCAGATGATACTCAGCTATATTTATCTATGAAGCCAAATGAATCAGGTCAGCTGGTCAAACTTCAAGCATGTCTTAAAGACATAAAGGCCTGGACGACCTGCAACTTCTTACTTCTAAACTCTGACAAAACTGAAGTTATTGTGCTTGGGCCTGAAAACCTTAGAAATCTGCTGTCTAATCATATAGTTACTTTAGATGACATAGCTCTTGCCTCCAGTACTACTGTGAGGAACCTTGGAGTCATCTTTGATCAGAATATGTCCTTTAAATCACACATAAACCAAGTCTCTAGATCTGCCTGCTGTCACCTGCGCAATATTGCAAAAATCAGGAGCATCCTGTCTCAAAGTGATGCTGAAAAACTGGTCCATGCATTTGTTACCTCCAGGCTGGACTACTGTAACTCTTTACTATCAGGATGTCCCAATAATTCCCTAAAAAGCCTCCAGTTAATCCAAAATGCTGCAGCCAGAGTACTGACAGGAACTAGCAAGAGAGATCATATCTCTCCCATATTAGCTTCTCTCCACTGGCTCCCTGTAAAATTCAGAATAGAATTTAAAATCCTTCTCCTAACATACAAAGCCCTTAATGACAAGGCTCCATCGTATCTTAAAGACCTCGTAGAGCCTTATCATCCTAACAGAGCACTTCGCTCTCAGAGTGCAGGTTTACTTGTGGTTCCTAGAGTCCACAGAAGCAGAATGGGAGGCAGAGCCTTTAGCTATCAAGCTCCTCTCCTATGGAACCAACTCCCAGTCTCAGTTCAGGAGGCGGACACCCTCTCTACCTTTAAGATTAGACTTAAGACGTTCCTTTTTGATAAAGCTTATAGTTAGGGCTGGATCAGGTGACCCTGAGCCCTCCCTTAGTTATGCTGCTATAGGCCTAGGCTGCTGGGGGCCCCATGATGCTCTGAGTTTCTTTCCCCTCCCCTCCTACTCTTGACGAGCAGTCACCGGCCACATCGACCTGATCAGTGTTTGATTGTTGTGTCTTGTTGCTTTTCTTCTTTTGTCTCTCCTCTATCCACTCACCCCAACCGGTCGAGGCAGAAGGCCGCCCACCAAGAGCCGGGGTCTGTCGGAGGTTTCTTCCGTTAAAGGGAGTTTTTCCTCCCCACTGTCGCCAAGTGCTTGCTCAAGGGGGATTTGTTGGGTTTTCCCTATGTAATAATATTGATAACAGTAAGGTCTAGACCTTACTTTGTAAAGTGTCCTGAGATGGCTTTTGTTGTGATTTGGCGCTATACAAATAAAATTTGATTTGATTTGATTTGATGTTGAAATCACATTTGCATCTTGTGAATGTTCACATCACAGAACAACTTCAGACAGTTATATGATTGCAGAGTTGGCTGTGTACAGGCTAAGAATACTGAACTGACAATACAGCACAACTATATTAATTAAATTTGGGTCTCATTATATTGAACAGCAGACTGTAGCTAATACTGATGGAGGCAGTCTGATGGTGTTGAAGGGTGACCACACGCAGAGGTCTCTGGGGAAAAAAACATTTAATCAGCAGCAATGCAGTTATTTTGTAACATGAGCGCTGGACAGTATTTCCACTCTTTACCTCACGATCATTGTGATGAGAGAGAACATAGCTGCAGCTGAGATGATTTTGTAGTTGTAGCCTATATTCCTGGGCCTGAATGTGATAAACAATTGTGCAGTGTTTTGGCATCTGAGAAGCCTTCGTCTTTACAGGTCCATACTCAACTGAATTCGCTGAATTGTATTTCATCTGAAACAAAACAGCCCTGCAAAGCTTTGGAAGCTTGACCCAGATTCTGCCTTAAGAGTCGCTAAAGTGAGAGAAAGAGTAACAACACACAGGGAGTCACCCTGAACTGTTTGAGTGTCAAAAGAGTATGGAGGGCATGGTTTTATCAGCAATGATAGACACAGCTAACATTCATCAGACTTAAAGCATTATGGGGGGCGACTGTGGTTCAGTGGGTAGAGCAGTCGGCTCCTTGACCAAGACACTGAACCCCCAAGTTGCCCCCGATAGTTAGAGTCATCGGTGTGAGTTGGCGCCGCAGATGGGTGCCTCGGTTTTGTACCGGAAACAAATTCCTTTTGTGTAATATGCTTGGACAAATAGAGGTTAATATCCTTATTATGCATTAAAAAAGGCTTGATGTGTCTGATCCCTCCAGAAAGGTATTAGCAGAACTCTACCTTTGGCTTAGCTGCGTCCTTGCTAGATGGATGAAAACTTCTAATGCCCCACAGTGTCTGCAGAATGGATGTGCATTGATTTCAGTGTGCTCTGTCTGTTGGCAATACATTGATAGGTGTGTGTGTGTGTATGTGCGTTCACATTTATAGTTTGTTACTGGACAGCACTGAGACGGAGATGATGTACATGACTGTGTTTTGGTGTAAAATGTTACTGAACTTACATTGGCCAGCAGTAAAATGAGTAAAGTTAAAGTGTGTCACTGTGGCCCTGAGACCAAATTAACTGCTGCATCATGGGATGGAAAACTAGGGACGGGGAAAACAAACCAAAGTGAAAGAGGGCAGATGTTTCCTCTCTATCTCTCTCTGTCTTTCAGTCTCACAGAGCTAAAGGGTTAAAGAGATGTTCAGTTACATTCATTATATTCATCCAAATAATGGCTAACAGCAAGTCATCAAGGACCATTAATAGTTAACAGAGGACTATCTACTAACAGCAGAAATTTCCTCTTTTGAAATGCAATTATTAGATTAATGACACCTTGGAACCACACAGATCCCAAGTCACATTTTTTGTCTTGTATTTTTGTGAAGCTACAATAACAGTCAAGTCTACCATTAATAAATACTTAACCACCAATAAGTAGAGTGTCTACACATCCTACAACTGTGAGCTTGAATGTAGGTTAAGTTCTTCCATAGCGAGCGCCGACTTGTAAAGGTCCTAGGATGAACTCAGCACACATGAGGAAAGTCAACAAGAGCTATTCGTGTTATAAAAGCTCCCTCTAATTTAACACACCTTTGAGACTCCTTTGCATATTAATCTGGAAATGACAGCGCTGTTTTACATTACTTAAGAGACAGTCAGAAGTGTGGGCAGCGGACACACTGTCAGTGGCTCTGCCTGAGTGAATCACCCCGTGAGGTAAGATGTACGCCGACCCAGATCTCTGCTTTCTGGAAATGGCTTCCAACAAACAAAGCAGCAACTGTTCAGATCTCCTCACTGTTTGCGGTAGTGTGCAACAAAGTGCATCCATAAAGAAAACAGTGTCACAAGGTATTTGATGTGTTACCAAGGATCCATGCAGCTGTCAGTTTATACTTCAGCGCCGTTACAAACTATGGCTCATAAAATCAGTGACTGATGGTGATCCCTTTATCAGTTGCTCAGTCAAGTAGCAGTCACTTATAGTAACTAATCACCACCTATTTAATGCTGAACTTTGCTTTGTGAATACTTAAGAGAGGCCTTGCCATTTTCTGCCAAGCACACATCTGTTGTTTACTTTTCCATCTTGCTAGTCTACCACTTTGCCATCACTCAAAGACAGCCAAACTGTCACCTGCATGCTCTATGGGCATGTTGACCTTTTCAAGCCTCAAAGAGTCCCATGTGTGCAAAGCTGGTCGCCACAGAGACAAAGCCCGAATACATTTCCCCAGGACTAAGGGTGGGGGTGGCTGCTGGTGGCTCAAGAAGAAATGCAGATGGGCTTTCCATTTTTGTCATACTGGTACACCAACATCTTGATGCAGTGGGAGTTGGCTGGTGAGATCCAGGGACTGCTTGTGATGGAGAAGTTGTGGCTGGCGTAGAATGGTGGTGGCTGCTTGCGGCAGTGGGCCAATGCTCGCAGCACATTGGCCGCCATGCCCCGGAAACGCTTGCTGATGAAACAGTACAGGAAAAAGTTGACACCGGTGTTGAGCAATGCTAGCATGTTCGCCAGATCAGTGAGCATGTGGAGCAGCTGGCCAGCACCTTGTGAGGCTGGAGGAGCAGAGTAGAAGTGGTAGAGGATCATGAGGGTGCGGGGCGCCCACAGAACTGCGAAAATGGAGGTGATGGCGAGGAGTATGGCAGTGGTCTTTCCGGTAGAGTAGCCACGGAGACGGAAACAGTTGCGGCGCCTGCGCAGCTTGCGCACAATGACAGTGTTGAGGGAGAAGAAGACAGTGCAGGGAAGGAGGTAGACAGTGGTACAGTGAGCCCACACCAGAATGTGCTGGGCCACGGTTCTCCCTTTGCGCTCTCCTCCTCCGCCACCACTGCCTACCCCAGACAGGCTGTGCCACAGCTCAGGCCACCAGTAATAAGGAGCTGCAGACAGCAAGCACCCAATATACACAGCAAATATCACCCTTCGTGTGCGGGCCGGGTAGGAGACAGAGTGGTAGCGCAGTGGATGGCAAACAGCGATGTAGCGGTCAATGGTGAGAGGCACAGTGATCCAGATGGAGGTGTGGATTGAGGAGAACTCCAGCACCTGCACCGCACTGTTTAATGATGGAGGCAGTGGCGTGGCCAAAATAAAATCCTCCAGTATGAAGTCGACAAAAACAATAAGGAGTAAGACTAGGATGTCGGCGGCTGCCAGAGCCAGGAGATAGTTGTAGGAGGACTTTTGACGACGCAGCACCAGCTGGGACAGGATGACCACTGTCAGGATATTAGCTAGGAGGAGGAGGAAAGAGGGTGAAAAGGGAACATGAGGATGATCGAAAGTAGATCCAGAGTGGAAATAGATAAATGATGATATTGGAAAAGGAATGGGCACAGTTTAGTGCAGGGATGTAAACAGAAAAAAATGCAAGTTAGTGGACAGGTAATCGAAAAGGGGCATCCAGTCAGCACCAAACAGGAAAGCAGTAAAGATGCAGCAAGCAAGACATGCACTGTCCATGCTAACACCAGCAAGATGCGATACACAAATATGAGGTAAAAAGGAAAATATTTCAGCACCACCGTAAGCAGGTCTAAGAACCCATTGGGTTGTGATTTGTTTTCCAGTTTCAGGCCATTATATGCAAAACCTGTTATCATCCCCAGTCAGTATTTGTAATGTTTAACCAGCTCTCCTACTCAGTAATCCTTCCCCTGTTTATTGCTCCCTTCCTTTTCCCCTTCTACACCTGCTGTGTAATTCCAGCAGCACCTGCTTTTGCCTTTGGCCAAATTATCCCTAATAAAGGGCAAAGCCACAGGGCAACATAAGAGGGCAACATGCAGCACCACAGACTTGGCAATCTGCTGAGTCTACTACTGCCAGCCACCGGCAATTTTGTTCCTAAAACAAAACAAGGACACCCCATCTTTTTCTGTTTTCCTCTGTTTTTCAGTCTATACTCTGTATCTCCAAAATGTACCGTCATACCTTTTCTGCCATGTTGGCAAATTGAATGCTTTCCTTGTCAGCTTAAATTTTTTTTCCTATCTTGCGGAGGTCAGGTAAATAACACAGGAGGGAACCAGTGTTCTTTTGTTCATTGCTAAAAAGAACGTGGACACAAAGGCCTGGATGTAATTTCTCCCACAAAGCATGACCTCAGCATCTGCATCAAACAAAAGGAGCACAGCTTTCTGCTGCTCATGTGGAACTGCAGTTCTTCAGTTGAATTGCACAGGCTAATTAAAATTTCTTTCCTCCTAGTCTTCTTCCATTCTGTTTCCTCCCATCACCGCATGCCCATATTATTCCATCACCTCAGACTAAATACTAAATGTTACAAATACTGATAAATGCTAAGTGTACCGAAACACCATCTCTGTCCAGTGACAACAGTCAGGGGAGATCCAGGGTGAAAGTACCACTTTTTATTTTTACCCTGACTGTGGGAGTACAGAAGTGACCAACAGCCCAAGTGACTTTTTAATATTCTAGTAAAATATTCCGTCTTTAAACTTCAAGTTTCTAGCTAGCTAATGATCTAGTCTGGCAACAGCAATACTTGCTGGTAACGTAATGCACATTACGTTACCAGCATTGCAGCAGCATAAGCAAGCATTCAGACTGAGTTTGGTAAAATGCAACTCCATGCTGTGTTTTAATGCAATAGACTGCATTGGTTGGGGGGATGTAAGGTTGCAAGGGAGTGTCGTAGGCGTGTACGATACGGCCACGTTGTGACGAGTCAACATTAGTGGCTTCATTCATATATCCAGCCCATGATTTTCTGTTGTCTGGTTAGCCATGCTGCTAATAGCCTAATAGCCTACTCTATATTAGGGCTGGGCCCACTTAATCGACTATTTGGATATTTGTTTGTTGGGTACATAATCTGTTTTTAATTTTAGCATTCAAATATTCAAGACAGCAGTAAATTTCAATGTGCCATTTCAGTTTTTTTTTTTTTTTTTTTATACACCTGCCACTAAAAAGAACCACAAGTGATCCTAAAGGCTATCAAATCATCAGACCCTGTGAAAATACCAGCCCACACACACTTGTGGTCCAATAATTGAACATTAATTTTCCAATTTGAAAAAAAGAGCTAAAGAAAGTCATTATGTAATATTTAATATAACAGAGGAGCAGACGATGGATCTTCATAACCATTTGCGTGCACACAGAATGTGCTACATTTCACTGATGTGAGATCGACTGATATTTTTTACCTGTGAAGACATCTCACTCTGTTGGAGCTGTTGGAATGACAGAGAAGCCCTCAGTTCATTCTGATTATTCAGTGGTGTTACAGTGATGCCTCTATCTTGGGCTAACAGCAGACACTGTGTGTTGTCTGTTTGTCCACCCCACTGTAGTGAGGTCACAAACCCAACAACATTTTGTCATCTATTTAAGTCACTGAGGTAATGTTAGTTAGTGGCAGCTTGTATGACCATACAACCGTCCCCCCTGTACTTTCAACCTGGATCTCCCTTACCTCCAAACAGGAAGGAAATTTTATGACTTCAAAAAACAAACAAACAAAAAACTTGTGCTCTTTGTCTCATAAAACTCAAGGCTCACTTATTGTACAAACATTTTCAGAGCTTTAGTCCACAGGTCACAGTCCAAACCGGTTTGCTAGAAATTGTTTATATACAGCTAATATGAAACGGCATACAGTATCTGTCTTGAAAAGAGTAACTGGCACCAGATCACGGTTTAATCATATCTATGTTGATACTGAACGCATATGATTATGTTTAGACACTTTGCATTTCATGTCTTTGTGAACTTTTTCTGCATGAAACCAGACAATAGTCTATTCCTAATCTTAACAAAGTTTTAAAATACATTTAAGTAAAGCCATTATCTTTTCCAAACCTTAAATAAGATGCTTTTGCTTCCTAATCCTAAACACAGACAAGGTTCAGGATGGAAACCCCTATCTGTCCTGAAAACACAAAACATGACATTTGAACATCATCCAACCAGCGATTACATTTTATGTAACCTGGAAACAACTTAGCAATATATGAATGTAATTTCAAGGAGACAGGCTTGCTGTTTCCATTTGACAAAGCAGGTCAGATGGAGAATATTGACAACTTAATGGATCTATTCCTCAAAATGGACTTTGTAAATCGTATTTTCAACAGTGCCATCAACGCAGCCATTTGCATTTTCTAGGATTAAGATGCAGTGAAAGGTTCAGGAGTGGATTTTAAGTTGCAATTACTTTGTCACACACACAGATCCCAAAGTCAAGAACGATTTTCAGTGCTCGAAATTGCTTTTCTTAATTCCTGCATGGTTTTCACGCAACAGTGACAATATATAACTTCTTCTGCCAGGTGGAATAGGGTTTTTTAGTGCATGATCTCGTGCAAAAGTAATCTTGGTAAAGGACATTTCTATTTCATAAGAGAGACTGTAGTGTGTGAGTGACTAGTGAGCATTCAGTATGTTCTATGAAGGGTAAAAAAAAGTCTGTTTCATGCTGTTCTAGTTCTGTTATCTAAACTAGCAACCAAGTATCAAATGGTAGATGCACAAAATATATCTTCTGTTACTGTTAGGGCTGCAACGGTATGAGATTTTCATGGTATGATAACCATCTCAGAAAACATCACACTTTCACGGTATTACAATATTACACAAATACTATTATTATCAGCTACCATGACGAAGAGTGCAGCCAGACCTGTCTGGACATTCACTCACTCACACAAACTCATTTACTGTATGCGAGGCAGGGAAGTTTGTGTGTGTTTCTGGGGTCAAACCGGGATCACTGCAAGGTCTTTTCTAAGTCTGAGATCAGAGAACAGACAGACAATGTGGAAAATTATTACAACAGTGCATTTTATAACCCACATTTATTGTTTGGGATTAAAGTTATAAATGGGGGCGCATACTTTGCTCTGCACGGAGGGATGGACTTCTTGTTTTTGAGATATCCAAAGTAATTCTGTGCTGCTGATTTAAATTTCTTTTTTGGTGGATGGAGTTTGGTGAGTTCAGCCTCCTCCTCTCTGCCATTTGTCCACTGCATGTGTGTGTATGGCGCACGTTGCAGAGTCTGACAGGTAGTTGTGGAAGAAAGGTGTGCACGCATTGCCTTACTGTATTTGTTTTTTATTCACTACCGGTATGTGCATGGTATGATAACCATGGTACACCGTAGAACCGGTATACCACTGCAACCCTAGATACTGTTGCTAACCAGCGTGAACCTTGGTGGCATTAAGTTGTGTCCAGTATGTTTCCTCAGACAAAGACACCTCTGACATTATTTGCATCACAGATCAATGAGACACAAATGCACTTAGGAGCTGTCACTGTCCATAGAGCATGTGTGTGTGTGTGTGTGTGTGTGTGTGTAGTAATTGATTTGAGATCGGATTAAATATGGCAGTTTGGAGTCTGGTACATCACACTTCACAGCCTCAGCCACTATCAGCTGATTACAGATGACAACGCTGGCTCCAGATAATGACTAAAGATGTCCTTGCCAGACTGGATGATGTGCAGCAGAAGAGGCACACTCACACATTAATACATGTCTGCACATGCACATCCACCCACAAACACACACATTGTTATGGATGTGCCAATTCATTAACATATCATGTATCAATAACCATAAATAAGATGTAAAATCATCTTACAAGATCCAACAAGCCAGTAAGTTCCGTTGCTTTCATGTTGAATTTGGTGGATTGCATGGTTTCAGCCACTGTCATACACTTCCTGTTTGTTTATGCTGCTTCTTGTCAGTTTGGTCAATCATTGCAAATATATCCAGAATTAGTGTTGTCAAAAAATATAAATTTTAATACATAACGATTCTGAATATTTGAAAAAGTTTCAATACTCCTTTTCCATTATGTTAACAGCTGCACTTTCTTGCTCTATCTTCTCTCTGACAGCGAGTTTAGACACATACAGACGCTACGTTTCCTGATCTAACAATAGGTGCTAACAATAAATTCAGCAAAGCACTCAAAGGCCTGACACAGAAAGAATTTCAAGAGGTAGGTGACAGCTCCCATTTCAGCATCAGTGAAGCATTGAACAAGATGTCCCTGTAAACTGTGAAGTGTGTTGTCCTGTTGCTGGGCCAAAAATCATTTGTATTTCTCAAAGCTAAGCTAATGCCCCTCAGAGCTCTTGGGCCCGAGGACTCTCAGACAGCAGAGATTCAGCTGATAGGAAACTACTTAATTAGTAAATTAAGTTAAATGCTGTTGTGCTGAACACTTGAACATGTGTACTACCTCAAGAA